CCTGCTGGTATAAACACCCCATAAACCTTCTTGTTCCAGTGTAAACTAGGGTGAAGACATGTTTTGCAAACACTGATGTGCTCTGTAACACTTTGCTGTGTTTACATTGTACAGCTGCTCCCAGAACAAGGCTGGAGTGTGGATGAATAGCTTCAGTGTGCAGCCAGGGCTCTGGCAGGTAGCAGTACACATTATCATGCACAGCCTCAGCAGACATGTCAAATGAATTATGGCCTTGGATTAGGATTTGAAGTTGCCTCTCTCCTTGCATTAGCAATGTCAGTGGTGAAATGAATTGGTGTTTTCTTTTTTTAAATTACTGTGTTGTATTTACCAGGGCTTCCTTTGTGTCTTTGTTGTTAGTAGCAGCAGCAGATGACAACTAGTGAGCTGAGCGATAATTGTAGGACTCAGTTTCAATATCTATTGTGCAGTGACTTGAGAGTTTTCAGGTCGCTTCATTGTATTCACACCTTTTAGATTAAAATTGCCATTTTTGTTCATCAGTCAAAACTCAGTAACCCATAATGACAAAGTGAAAACATGTTAGATGTGCAAATTTATTAAAAAGTACTCTGATGCTTTGCTTGCAATCCAGACTGTGGTCAGGTGTATTGTGATTGCTTTAATTACCATTGAGATGAGTCTACATGTGTCCATCTTGAATCCCCTTGTGGCAAATTGAATTGATTAGTTAGCAAGGCACACAACTGTATAGCTTGTAAGGTCTCACAAATTCACACAGCATGTCAGGACAAAATCAAGCTATGAAGGTCCACTCTCTCTGGACTGTCATGAAAAATTATGGCAAGGCAAAAATAAAAAAAATAAAAAACTTTTTAAACCCGAGCGTGTTCCCTGGAGCACAGTGGCCTCAATAATTGTAAAATGAGAGGTTTGGAACCACCAGGAACCTTCCTAGAGTTGACTGTCCAGCTAAGTTGAATAATTGGGCATGAAGAGCCATGGTCAGGGAGGTAACCAAGAGCCCACTGGTCGCTCTTTCAGAGCTTCAGAAGTCCTCTACAGAGATGGGAGAGCCTGCTGGAAGGACACCCGTTTCTCCATCAATAAGGCTTTTATGACAGCTTGTCTGTAGTTTGCCAAATAGCATTTGAAACACACTGAGAGCATGAGAAAAGAGATTTTCTGCTCTGAGGCAAAAATGTAGCCCTTTGAACTCCCAAGTGCTGTGTCTGGCACTGCAGCGGGGACAGGAAGGCTGGTCAGAATTGCAGCAAAACACACAGAGGTCCTTGACCTGAGACTGCAGTGACAGATAACCTTTCAGTATGACAGTGACCAAAAGCATACAACCAAGACAACAGTGGAGTCGCTTCAGAAAAAGTCTCTGACTGTCCTTGAAAGACCCAGCCAAAGCCCAGAGCATCTGTGGAGAAATGTGAAGATGGCAGATGGCAGTTCACAGACGCTTTTCGTCCAATCTAACAGACCTTGAGAGGATCTGTGAGGAAGAATGCGATAAACTGCCCATATCAAGGTATGCAAAGCTTGTAGAGTCTTAACCGAGAAGACTGAAGCTGTTTTTGCTGCCAAAGAGGCTTCTAAAGGTCTGAATAGGTTTGTAAATGAGCGCCTTCAGCTTTTGATTTTTAATAAATTAGCAAAAATTCTAAAACAATGTTTTCACTTTGACATTATGTGTTATTGAAACTAGACTGATGGCAAGTTTTATTCATTTAAAATGAAATATACAGCACCATAAAGCCGAAAATATGAAGGGGTCTGAATTCTTCCTGAAGTCACTGTACATATGATATCAACCATTATCATATGTTAAGATGGAGGCTTAGACTAATAATCTAGATATGATAAAGGTAATCAGTTTTCAGAAAATGAGTTGCCAACTAATTTGATAATTAATCGTAAAAATACTTGTCAGTTGTGAAGATTTGCTGCTTTCCCTGTTTCATATCCTTGGACTGCTGTTGGATAATTGGCAGACTGAAGGTGTCTCCTTGGTAATTGTGATGGGCATTTTCACACCTTTGTCTGAAATTATTACAAGCTAAATCCATGGCTTTCAACTGTCTTTGACATGTGACCCCTTAAAAAAAAGAAGAAGAAATTCTTCATTGCAAATTGAGTTTTGGACTGTTTGTTAGAAAAATAAACAATCCAAAGGCACCAAGCTTTAGAGTCATGACTCACTTTTCCCTATTTTCTGGCATTTTGGTGTTTAACAGATTGATTGGTCAGTCAATATGATAATTGATAACAACAATAATAGTTAGTTCCAGCTCTGAAATAATGAAACTGGCATCCATCACATTTGGCAATGTGGACATTTAGTGAAAGAGCAAAACAGTGCAACAGAAGTACAGTTAAAGTCCATTTGTTTTAGATTTCATGCATGACTAGTTTTAATGAGTATTTGCCATTCTTCATTAATCATAGCTTTGTGCTCACAGCAGCTTTATCATTGTTTCAGCACAATATGATCCTGAAGACAATAAATAATAGTGTACAATAATTGCCCAGCAGGGTTAAGCGGAGGCTGGCGAGCCTCATCAATGCATTTTTCAGTGTAACTGTATCTGTGCGGATCCCCTCCTCTGCATGTCTTTTAGAGCAGGACAATTCAGTCACGTTGCCAAACATTCCCCATGCAGTATTATTAAGGGCAGAGCTTGAAAACTGCAGCACTAATGCCAGAGACACTCGTTTCTGCTTAAGGGAATCCATGGTAACTCACTGACAAGACAAGAGAGGTGTTTGACCTGCTTTTACTAGGCTGCAAAGTTCAGCCGAGCACGCAGGTGGCTTCCAGTTTCCCTGGAAACCCGAAAACACTCGGGGCATGTGACCTTGTCTGAAAGAGCAGAGCCGCGTGACCTGCAAATATCATGGCATTGTTTGAGATGGAGAGATTGAGGGATGGTGGTATCTGCCAATGGACTGGATGCATTGGGAGACCCCACCTTGAGAGAGCTCTAACAGTTACATTTGTGTCCTCCCATCTGTTTTCATTGATCTCCATCTCTGCTGGTCTTGCAATCAACCACACTGGTATTTGCCACTCGCATTAACACACTGACTTAACAAATTACACTCTCTGGGCTAGAGGTGAGGAAAATTAGTCATGCGCCTTGCTCTTAGGGTGGCCTTAATTAAAATGTCATAGGCCCAGACATCAGTCATAGCTCAGGCGCCAGTTAGTACCTTAATTATGTCCTGCGTTATTTGCAGTGCTGTTAAAATGCTAATTATATTGTAAATAATATGTAATTAAAACTTGGACATTGCTGTCCAAGTCCCATGAGCGTGGATTAGTCTGGTATTCTTGATTGTTCTTTCACTTTTCACAGATCTGTTATTCAAAATCAGCTCAGCTGTAACCATAAAACAGCTACCCACTTATTATGAATTTTAATGCTAGAACAAATGTTGTTAGTGAGTGCCGTGTTGGCCCCCAGGCAGTGCAGCAACTACTGTATCCCCAGCCTTATTGCACAAGTATAACACTGACTGATGTTCCTAAATGAACTCCATCAGCTCACAGTCACTGTCTCTCACTGTATGTGCTGATAGTCCCACAACTCTGCCTGAACCTGCTGCCAATTCCATTTAGCCTCCAGTCTATTTTAGTTCAAATCAGCAGGCTGAATTATTAATCCCCAATACATTATATGCCGATGTGTTAATTATTAATTGCTCAGCAGGCTGTGATCTGAGAAAACCGTTGGGGGTAGAGTAGGATCGGGCACGGTGTGTGAGGGAAAGGCATTGATTGCCGCCTCTCTCAGCTGATCTGGTCCAGTCTTCACAGATGACGCCTGTGTGGGAAGATGAGAGATGTAACCGTCATACAAAAATGCACCCAAGGCATGTGTGTAATATGCAGCCATATATGCATTGCATCTGTTCTGGATGCAATTATGGCTCACACGTCGGAGTCGGTAAAGTAGATGAGTGTGTGTCTGCAACATATACAGTTGTTAACGTTCACAATGTTCCCAGCACAAGCTGTCTTATTAGCAGACAGTCCCTCCTTGGTTATGTAACTTCTCAAGAGAGGAGCGAGAGAGACACTACAGAAGTTGATGAAAGATGAAATTGCAGCATTGAGTTGTCCTGAAATCCTGCTGCTGAGAGGCTCCTGTTGTACAGCTCATTTGAGTGGTTGTCCTCTGAACACAAAGCAGGGACGTACCTTATATAACAACCAGAATTGTCTATTGTTTTCAAAGACAGATTATGTCATACAGTTGAGGCGGATTTGTGGAGAAAGAAGTTTTCTCATTTAAGTTTTCCCAATAACAGCTCATTATAATGACATCAGTAATGTCGTGATGAATGGTCACAATCAAGAAGTTGTTTTTTTTTTGTTTGTTTTTTTTTTGTCCAAGCTTTCTCTCAGGCCTCCACAATTTTCAGGTTTTTTTTTTTCTTTTCTAGCAACAGTGCAATGTTGTGAGGCTTTTATTTGAACTGGCTTTGGGAAAGTAGTCCTGTAGATGTTCTGATTTTCACAAGTTGGGTGTTTTTTTAACTTATAGTTTACTCATGGGAGTTCTACCAAAAGGCAGCAAGGCAAATACAATATATCAGGACTATGTACACAATACAGCATCAGCCAATGCAGCTCAATAGCCCTACAATAAATGCAATCTTTATGATACTTATCATGGTTTGTTTTGTTAGTGCCCTGTCAGAGAGATGTTGCATCCACTCTGTTACTGCTTGACTCTAGCCTGTTGCACCGTGTTTATTATATTGCTGATCCACAAATGTTGGAAATGCACCGAAAGACAACTGCACCACTAATACTGAACTCCAAAACTAGCATGAAGTTGACTAGAGCTGAAATGACTGGTAACTCAAATAGTTTGATAAATCAGAAATTGCTTCTTTCTTTTTTTTTTTACAAAACTATTTTCTGACACTTTGAGGACCAAAAGATTAATCAAGAAAACATTTAAATCAACAACTGTCAGCAGTGTTTCACAAACATTTTCCAGTGGTACTTTTTTATTGCACAGCTTTTGTACAGAAGTGTATTAACAGCTGCAGATGGTGCTGTTATTGTGTCTGTATTGGTCATCTCATCTCTTTGGGTACTTTTCAAAATATGTGTTTATTCAATCTAGAGCCTAGTTGATTGACAGAAAAGAAACCTACATCAGTTTTTATAATTAAGTATTTTTTAAAAGAAGGAAAAAAATCCTCCAAATCTTTCACAGCTGTCAGTATTTGGTGATTTTTCTGATTCTTCCATGATGCTTGACTGTATCTGTGGGTTTTGAACTATGTTCAGATAAAAGAGGTAGATTAAATATGTCACCTTAGGCATTTGGAAATCAACTTAGTCTTTGAGCGGTTTTAAGCTTTTAAAGAAAGTCTGATTATGGCATTTACCGTTTATTTGACACTTGAAAGAGCAGGAGAGAGGAGACGGGGAGCAATAGAAAGGGATGGACATACGGTAAAGGTAATGGACTGGACTCAGATTGGGGATGTCTCAGGTATATGCTATTGGTACAGTTGTTATATGGTGTGTTGGACCTCTGGGTCATCCCGACTTCTGCTTTTTAAAACATGAAGGACTAAAATCAAGAAAAAAATCTTGTATTTCTTGTATCTGGAAAATGTTAATTAAATCTCTAAATATTTTTTACTATATATATTATATAATATTTTAAATACAGATGTCTGTCCAGAAGGTTAGAGTAAACTGTTAATCCCTACAAATACAGAGCTGCTCTGAGTAATCGGCTTCATCTGAAAGCAGCAAAAATTGTTTCTGCTGATGGAGTTGTCTCTTTCAGGGTCACGGTGCCCCAGTCCATGTGACTAGTGATCCCTAAAGAGCGTAAAAGTCGTGACATTTTCTGCTGCCATCAACCAATCACTTGAAAGATGGAGTGTCATGGAAAGTTCCGCAATCTTTGCCAAAGCTTTTTTTAGCAATTTGTGGTGGCCAAGCACCATAGAAACACATTTGTTTTTATTGGTTTACTCTCTACGCTGGCTGTTATCACTAGCCAGCAAGCTCTCTAGTTTGGCAGTAGGTATGAGAGGGCTGATATTTTGGGTGTCGTGGCCTCTGCTTCCTCATGAGGCATGATGGCATGTGTTGGAGTGGGTGGAAGAACCAGGTGTATCCAATTTCTGTTCCTTTTCTCACCTGTCATACCACAGCTTTGGTTTGACTCCTGCATCCTGGATCCTGCTCAATGCCCCTCTGAAAACCTAATGTCAATATGAACAGCCCAAAGGCAAAATCATGTTCATGTCAAGTAGCATGTGTGCAGTGTCTCTGGCAACTCCAGGATGTCCTTTATGAGCCGGTGAGTCAATACAGGTGATAAATATTGCAGCAAGTTAATCATTTTTAGATGTCCTAGGAACTATCTGCGAAACATTCACGGTTCCCAGCTTCTCAAATATGAAGATTTTCAGAGTTATTTTTCCGATTTACAAGACTCTGAATTTCCAGTCTGGGAGTTCTCAACTGTAGGACACAAGAATTTTTGAAGTTGTTCTCTTGAGCTGCGTGCAGTTTCAGAAAATTGTATAGTAAAAAAAAAATGTCAATCACAATTTCAAAGGATGAACCTAGTTCGCCCCTAATCACCATTTTGTAGTTTTAGTATCAGTCCAGCAAAAGGCTGATGCCTGTGCGAGATGACGGCAGATGTTGAATGTCTGTGTACCTGCTAGCCGGTACTCACATCTTCTAAATTAAATTACCATTGCAGGTGTGCTGTGTAGATTATTTACACAGTGCTTCTGCTGTAGGTTGTAGGCTCAGGTTTTTAGAACTAATCTGAAAACATCTGATTCTGTTCACACATCTGTGAAAAGATCAGATCTGAGTCTCTTGTAGGGAAGTGTGGAAGTTCCAAATCCTGCAGTTCCTCAAACTGTCACTTGAGGCTGGCTCAAAAGGGAATCAATCCCCATAGACTCCCAGCCTGGTACAAAAACAGTTTTGGTCTCTATAGCTAATTTCCTCTTCCGTGACAATTAAAACGGTTGTGGGTTTTTTGTTTGTTTGTTTTTTGTAACCTGCCTGTTGAAATTATATTGAGGCTAAAAGTTGTACATGAATTAAGGGTGTGGGCACTTTGAGTGACAGGTGAGAGGGTTCTGTCACAGGTGGCTAGCTGCTATCTGTCTAACTAGCTTCACTCACGCTCCACCTCTTTACCCTTTTTGGATTAGCTGTAGCAAGTGGAGTGAAGCATTACCAAGACGGTGATGGCCAGACTTCAGCTTCACAACCCTTCTTCAGAAAAACAACGGGTGATGTCACCGTGGGTTTGTCCATCTTTTATATTCAGTCAGTGGTCTGAACGTGGCATCAATGTCAGTCTCAAAGTTCTTGACAAAGGCCACGTTATAGAAACACAAAATGAGAATGACAGTTGATAGGAGTTGCCATCCCGCTCTTTGCTCAAATTTAGGATAAGCTTTTGACTAAAGTGCCCCCAATACAGACATCAGCTTTAACTGCCCTGAAATCCAGAGAGGCAAAGCAAATGAAATCGGGATAATAAAGGGCTTATACAGCTTCATCCGACCCTGCATCAACAATCCTCCAAGGACTAGAGAGGATACATAGGTTATTTCTTCATCATCACAGCCCCTTTTTACACCAGCCTGGCTGTCACACAGGCTTGACAGGGCTGTTTACACCTGTGAGAGTGAGAGCAAGTCCCCGGGTACATTACCCAGTCTCCCCCTGTGTCACAAGACATCCATCCAACCCTGTGTAGGGTCTGGTTTCATTTCCATGAGTCATGTTTGTTGAGCTTTTGTATACTTGTCTTTGTGAGGGAATGCATTCTGGCTTGTTCCGAGCGAGCTGATGACTTAGTAGCTCGTCTAACTGCCATAATGATACTGTGGAGCTGCTGGCTGCTGCAGTCTGCCTTTGTTTTTCCATTTTATTTTCAGCAGCTCTGCAAGCCAGGCCTATCAGCAATGTGTGTGCATACATGTGTGAAGATGTTTGTGTGATTTCTGTGTGCTGTGATAACTATGGATTATGTAATTTAAAACACCACCCAGCATTGTTTGCTGTTGTAATGTCTTGTTCCACCGTAAATACATAAAAATTCTGACACTATTGCAACATAGTGCCAGGCTGTCCCTTAGCAATGGACGTCACGGGCCTTTTAGATTTGACACCAACTACTCTCATGCTGCAAAGTCACCCAAAATAAATCCTTAGTCAAAGGCCTTTTCATCACTTTTGAAGACTTATCCCTTGAGGACCTTTTTTTAATTTTTTTATAAAATCTTAAGTTTACTCACCTTGGAGAAATGTATTGTAAGTGAAGTGGGAGCCACCGTGAGGAACGCCCTCCATCCTCAAGATAAAGTGTGTCAGGGTTTGTTATGTCACTACTCAGCTCTGAATCAGACCTCAGACAGACAATCCTAAGTACCAGCACATTTAAGGTTTTTGAATTCATACATATGAAAGACAAACATGTTTCCCTTTTTTATTCTTTTTTCCCCTCCTCTCTTTTGGTTCAGAGGTTGACCGCTATGATGGCTGTGGTCCCAGAAAAGAGTGGAATTTAATGAGCACTATGAAGTTTCCCTTCAGTCTTTGACAGGGGCTTCTTTTCATAATGTGCCCATTATCCATTTGCACTTTTCTGGATTTCTAAAGATCCATCAGCAGGGGCGTGGAGAGGGGGGTAAATCCTGACTTGCTTTAAGTGTTGCAATAAGCAATTTCTCTTCCCGAGGCTGACCATCATGATCAGAGGGTGACATCAGGACTAAGTGATTGTTTTCAGCTGCCACTCAAAGAGAAAGTTCTGTTGTTTTTTTTCCAGTCTGATCATTCATCTTTCTCCTTGTTATCTATTTCACACACATTGCATCAGAGAAGGATTTTCTCTTACAAGTGCAGCTTGACAAGTTTAGAGTTACAATTGTGGTGAAACAGTCAATAGGGATCTGCCAGTGATCCTAGGTGAGCACAGCAAGAAGCCAGATTAAATGTCCAGCACCTGCAACATAAGAGAGAATAAAACTAGGTTCAACACTGGAGAGTACATAAACGACCTCCCATCCAACACCTACATTTCCCCAACATTTCAGGATTGATATACAACACACCCCACCTTTTTCCCTCTCTATCTCTCTGCCTCTGACTTTGCTGTCTCTCTCCTCGTGTCTCCTGCCTGGGAAGCATCCTGCTCTCCAAGGAGTCTTATTGATATTCTTGGAGAAGCATTGCAGAGAGAGAAAGGAATAAAAGTCACACACTGTAGCAGCAGATGCACTGGCTTCTAGTACAAACAACAGAAAATATCACCACTGACCTAGCAGGCATATGTCACTGCTCATTTTGTCTGCTGCTTTAATAGCAACCCTCCTGCTTGGGATTTTATTGTTCTCCAGCACGCTGATAGGCAAATTGCCAGTCATACAGTTGAGATTTAGGGTTACTTTCATGTGGAGGAATATTGTATAAAGATTAATCCACTGCTGTGATATGAATGGGATACTCTGCTTAAATATAATTATTTTGTTTTCACTGTGGTACTCACCTGTTAGACTATGTTTAGCATATCAGTGACAGGGAAATGTATCAAGGAAATAAATTCTGACTGTTGAGCCAGTTTTTATTTTTTCCCTCACTGAGGTGAAAAAATGTTTTACTTATTTGCATATATATTTCTTTAGTTCAGAGTAAGGCAGTGTATCATTTTTGTCATACTGGTTCCTATGAGTTTGGGCCCAATGCCAAGAGAAAACCTTTTTTTTTCTTTGTTACTGTAAGTTAAGTAATTGCACGTACAGTATGTCAGTGTTATGCTCTGCACTGACTTTGAAAGATCAATTTAGTTAACTAAATGGGAAGAAATAGCAGCTTAGTTCTGCAGGAGACTAAAAGTCTACAGACAGTACTGGGAATGAATCACTGCCTTAAGGTTAACTGGAACAGTTAGATCAACAGTTGACTGACAGAAAATATGTTTAAGGGGACGCTTAAAATGACGCAGCCACACTGGATGGTGACATCATCTGGCACAGGTGCTGCGTTAACTGGTCACTACTGGAGATGGTTGGAATGTGGACACCCACAGGAAGAAGACTCTGTTTACCTTATTACCATGTGCATTCACTGCGGTTCACTATCAAATTTGGGCCACAGTTACAAATATGCCATAACGACATGCCATTTGCTTCCATTATTAAACTATTGGATGATAAACTGTACTTTTTATCTATCAGTGCCAACACACTGGTGGTAGAAATGAGTGCTAATGTAGAATAGGCTACATTAGCAGCATGGCTAATCAAAGCACAATGGAAACTCCGGGATTGTAAATGTGAATGATGCCCCTCAATATCAACTCCTCACAACGTGGCCATATCATACATGCCTACAACACTCCCTCTTTGTGTTTTACCACGCTCAGTATGAATAGCCGCTAACACAGTTATCAAACAACAAGTCTGCAGCCATGCCGGCAGCTCTGTGGTGCCGACTTGAGCTAAATGCACATGCTAACATACTCGTAGTGACAGTGCTAGCATGTTGATGTTTAGCAAGTGTAATATTTACCGTGTTCACAGTGCTAGCAATGCTAATGTTTGCTAATTACCATGAAGCAGAAAGTGCATTAGCATCTCTTCACTTTTATACATTTCTCTGCTCTGGTATTGTAAGGCAGATTAGCAAAACAGCCTGTTTATCTCTGCTGCCAGGTTATCCTTGGAGATCTGTGAAGGTTAGAGAGGGCGTGCACAGGAAAAGAGATTCATTTTCCTTTTCTGTAAAAGAATGTATAAATCTGGAGAAGTGACCTGCAGAGCCCACTGAGAAGCCGTTGCTGAAATGATGTGGCATGCTGTGGGCCTGCCTTATTTGAGAGGGGAGGGGATGTGA